TTCACTCAAGAAAATAACTGAAAGGCCCTACCAAGAGTGGTCAGGTCTCCAGGCCCACCTCTTCCACCCTTCAGCAGAAGACCCAGAAATAATCACCAGAAATTAAACAGGAGGGCTTCAGGTTTCAGGGAGCCTCGGCAGGTCAGAGAGGGGGAGAGAGAACTGAGTGAAAGCTGCCATAAGAAACGCTTGGATCCCCAGCCCTCCTCACTGCCCCATGCCTTGGATGCAGTGACCAAGTATACCCCTTCCAGGGGCGCAATTCAAGGAGTCTTCTCTGGAGAAACTAAACCACCTCAAGGAAAAAAAAAAAGGTCTAATAAACATACTGACATTTATTGGTTCCCTCAAAAAAACCAGATGGCTCCTCAACCCCAAGCACCTTAAAGTGAAGCCCACCAGGTGACAAGTCCTACCTGTACACAGAGCTTTCAATCACTATTAAATATGGACATGGCACAAACAACAAAGGAAAGAATCCATCAGACGTCATCAAAAGGAAAACCTTCTATGCTTCAAAGGACACTATCAAGAATGTGAACAGAGCTGACAGACTGGGAGATGGTATCTCCAAACCACACATCTAATAAGGGACTTCTATCTATAATATATAAGCTCATATAATATAAAAGCTCATAAGCTTTTATTATGGAATAAAAGACAACCCAATTTAAAAATCGGCAGGAGCTCAACAGACCTTCATCCAAAGAAGATATACAAGTGACCAATAAGCACAGGGAAATGCAAATCAAAACCACAAAGAATTCCACTTCATACCCACTAGGATGGGTATAATCACAGAAAATATCAATTGTAAGCAAGGATATGGAGAAACAGGGACCCTCGTATAACTACTAGTGAGAATGTAATATGGTGTAGCCACTTTGGAGAACAGTCTGGTAGTTCCTCAAAAAGGCAAAGAGCTGCCGTATGACTCAGCAATTCCATACCTAAGTGTCTCCCCAAGAGACATGAAAACCTATGGCCACACAAAAACTTGTATATGAAGTCCACAGTAGCATTCTTCATACAAAGTGGAAACAACCCAAAAGCCCACCAACTGATGAATGGATCAGCAAAACTCCATGCAATGGAGTATTACTGAGCCATAAAATGGCATAAAGTTCTGATTCATGCTATAATACAGCTGAACCCTGAAAACATTACATTAAGTGAAAGAAGCCAATCACAAAAGACCACATATTGTACGACTCCATTTATATGAAGTGTGCAGAAAGGCAAAGCTATAGTGACCCCACTGGTGATGGCCTAAGGCTGAGGAAGTGGGCATAGGAGGTGGTAGCTAAAGGGTGTGAGGCTTATTCTGGAGGTGATGAAAATGTTCTAAAATTGATTGGTTGCACAACTCTGTGAATATACTGAAACACTGAACTGTACCACTTTAAGTCAATGAATTATACGGTAGGTGAATTATAAAACAATAAAGCTGTTAAAAAAAATATGGACCAAAAAAATATGGCCAAAGGTTATAGATATCATCAGACATCAAAACAGATAGAAAAAAAAGGATGAAAAGGAAACAAAGACAAAGAAGGGAACAGAAGAAACTTTAAAAAATGATTCTTACTTCATATCCCCAGAAAGATAAGAAAAAAATTGTAGTCATGAAACAAAATCAGGATGTAATCAAAGAACAAGAAGGAACTCTTAAAAATTAAAAATATCATGGTCAAAGTTAAATATTCAGTAGAAGGTGGGGCAGAGAATGCCACCATATTCCACTAACCTAATCCACCACAACTGTACAATGCACCATGATCTTTTGAACCACTAAAAAAGAAAAATGCCATCAACTGAACTATGAACACACTAGCAACTGAAAGACTCATCCATCTTCTTCTATAGTCATAGAACCCTGATTTTATTCAGAATCGCAGTTTACTCAACTAAAAGAGTACATTTCCCTGGCTCTTTTGCAGCTAGTTGCAACCATACAACATAATTAAGTGTTGTGTGTGACTTCCAAGAAAGCTCCATAGAGGGAACGAAGTTGGCTTCCTCCTTCCTGATGCCTGGAATATAAATATGATGGCTGGAACTCCAGAAGCCATGACCTTGAGGGCAGAAGCCATGCACTATGTATGGTAGATAATTGGAGAAGAGACAGATCTCTGGTGATTTCAAGGAGCTGCTGGACCAGCCCTGGACAGTCTACCTCCAGACTTACTTTATATGAAAGAAAAATAAACTACTTATTTATGCCACTGCTACACTGGGTTTTATGTAATATGTACTCAGATACACTCAACCAATTCAGAAGAATTAGAAGATAAAGTTAAGGAAATCTCCAAGAAAATGAGTTGGAAAATCAACAAAGAAATTGTAAAAATCATAGAGGGTAAACCTAGGATATACAACATAAGACTAATAGGGGTTCTTCGATAAGAACACAGAGCCAACAGAGGGAAAGAAATAATGTAAGTAAATTTCCCCAAATTGAGAAATAGTAATCTCACAATTCAAAGTGCCTGGCTGAAAAAATCAGAAGGTAAAAACACACATATCCCAAAGCTCATCTGTGTGAAACTTAAGAACCTAAGGGATAGAAAGGAAATGCAAAATTTTCAGAGATAATAAACAAAAACAAAACAAAAAACAAAAACCCAAGTGACATAACAAAGGACAGAGAATTAGAACGTAATCATACTACTCATGTTTGAAGACAATGGAGCAATGTCCTGAAAAATGATTCTTGAAAATCATTGCTGGGAAAATGATTCATGACTTAGATTCTATACCCAAACTATCAACCAAGTAAAAAACAACAGGCAAAGACTTGAACATTTATCTATCACACATTTTTCCTTTGGGAGGTACTACAGAATGCTTTCCAGCAAAATAAGCAGGCACACCAAACAGAGAGAAATATGAGATCTAGAAAACCATAGATTCCATACAGGAGAAAAGTAAAAGCAGGCTCCAGATGACAACCACAGAGCAAGTCAAGAACAACCAATTCAGACTGGAGCAGAACAGAGGCATCCGGGAGGAGAATCTCAAAGAAAGGGGGAATTGATGAATGATTTGATGGGTGTGAGCATTTGGGGAAAAACTTTTTTCTTTTTTTTTAAGATTTTATTTATTTATTTGACAGAGAGAGAGAGACAGCGAGAGAGGGAATACAAGCAGGGTGAGTGGGAGAGGGAGAAGCAGGCTTCCCGTCGAGCAGGGAGCCCAACTTGGGGCTCTATCCCAGGACCCCCAGGATCATGACCTGAGCTGAAGGCAGACGCTTAACAACTGAGCCACCCAGGCACCCCATGGGGAAAAACTTCTTAAAAAAATTTATATGATGGTTATGATGGAACAATACATAAAATTTTAATAGGATTATTTAGAAATACACTAGTAAGAAAGCCATTTACTTGTAGGAAAAAACAAAAAAGTTGTACAAGAAATAAAATGTAATTATAATACATAATTACATAGTAAGCATAATTCTTGGCTCTCTGGCGGTCAATCTGCATGGTCAAGAAAACATAAACATTTTATTACTTTTATTAAATTATACAACTTACTAGATATGATAGGATTGAGATGACGAGGGGAAAAGTGATATAACACCACTAAGGTTTTTCTATAGTACCAGAACAAGTACATAATGTCTTAGTGGTGATATCAAGGTATAGCAAGACAAGGGTATGACTTTGAACTAAGGAGATAAAACCCAGAACAAACAGCAAAAATTTACATTGATTGCTTCTGGGGATTGGGATTGGGGCTGGGGTGGAGTGGGACAAAAATCTGATGCTTCTCATTACAAGCCTCTTGGTATTAATTAATAATATAACTATTAATATCCATTGATTTAAAAATAAATTACCTATTTTTCATCCCAGGATAAAACAAAGATTTTGTATGAGGAGGACCTTCAGGATCTGACTCCCCTTTCCAGGTTTATTTTCCGTTATTCCCCGTCACATACCCGTACCCATGACTTTCCCCTCTGGAGCCCACTTCCTTATGCTTCCCCCAGGCTGTAGCAGCCCCTCCCGGGCTCTGCCTGATAGATCCTGCCCGTCCCTAAAGGCCCGGTCTGACTCCCTTCTGCTCGCACAGCAAGCTTGCAGAGTGCAAAAACCAAGTACCTTAAAGCTCAGGAGCCCCGAGGCTCAGTTCCGGCACTGTCTCTTCTGGAGATCACCAGGCTCATGGGGGGTTTGATGATAAGGACAGACAGCCAGGCTGGAGGGTCCTAGCTAGGGGCCCGGAAGCCACCGGAATTATATATAAAATGCTTCTGAAATTGTTCAGAGGCTCCATCCAGCACGCAAGAAGGCCCTGCTGCACTTCCCCGCCACTGGCTAAGTGTGCACTTGTCATACTCTCATCCCTGCACCCTTTTTCTGTGTGTACTGGGCCCCTGGAAGGCAAGCCCCCAGAGCAGGTACTACACCTACTGGTCTTAGAGGAGATGTTTCAAAAGCAGGGAGCTCTCCTCACATAGCACCTGTCCAGGGGTGAGGCAGGGAAGGCAACAGCGGCTAAGCCCATGGGCTGGGCGGTGTGGGCAGCTGGGTGGGTGTTTCTCTTGCGGTGAGCTATCCTAATCCTATAGCCCACTTCTGCAAGCCCTGCCCAACCCAACAGCCGCCCTACTCGAGCCCTGAAAAGAATTCTGGACTTGGCATTCAAAGAGTCCATGTGGGCTCTTTGCCTACCCCTCCTTCAGTGTCCCCTGAGGTCTTTTTCCAGTACTATAGCCCCTTTGAGGCTACACTTCCTGCCAGGACGTGGCTGCCATCACACCTCTCAGAAAAGGGCCTTCCTCACTGGCTCGGCTCTCAGGCAGCATGGCTGCTCCTCGACTCAGCCTCCCGCCTGTGTGGCCGTTTTGTGCTTGCACCGCCCTCTGCACTAGCCCCGCCCTCCCTGGGTTTCTACTCGTGGAAAGGGCACCTGATGCCCACTCTTCTTCTTTTCTCATTATCATCAACGTATACTAGGGATTGGAAGGAAGAGTTTATCAAAGGGCTTACCCAGAATTTCACAAGAAAAAAGGCATTGGAAGGTCCCCGTTCAAAGAGCTCCTTGAGTCCCCCCTTTTTCTCTGGGAATTTGTCATAGATCTGGCGGATGTCCACGGCTTCGAGGTAGGGGTCACTGTAGCTTGGGCTGGACTGGCCGATGTGCACAAACAGGTGCTTGTTGTACTGTGGAGAGAAAAGCAGGATTGAGGGTCAGGTGCAAGGTAGCAAGGCAGACAGAGCAGACCAGAGCTCAGATCACAGCTGTGTGACCTGGAGCAAGTAACTTCACTGCTCTGGGCCTCAGTTTCCCAACTGGTAAAATGGAGACAGGAAAAGGATCCGATGTAAAGCAAAGTGAACGCATATAAAGACCCTGGCTGCACCTGGCAGGTGCTCAGTAAACTGCAGTGATTGGGATCACTCTCAGTCCCGGCTCTGTCACTGAACAGCCTTACGCAAGTCATTTTCTACCTTTGGGCCTCTCATATCTCATCTGTGATATCAGACCACTGACCTAGATAAGGTGTTTTCAACTGTGCTCCACCCCGCAGATGGGGGCTAGGCTGCCTGTGACCCTCACAGGCATCTGGCTACACCCAAAGAAAGTCTACTTTGTTGTACACGCTGGGCTTCTGAGTAAGAGTTGGATTAATGGTTCCTCAGCTGAAAAAAACAAGTTTGAAAACGTCAGAGTGAAATGGTCTGTGAAGTCCCCCGGGCTCTGGCGCTGTATCTGCTTCGCCTCCTCCAGCTCCACCTCCTCTGACCTTTCCAGGTGACGCTGGTCCCCCAAGACACTGACATGGAAGGGGACCAGGTGGGGGTGGGGCTCTGGTCTCTGATGGCATCCCCAGGATGTGGGTCAGACACAGGAGGCTCCTCAGAGCCACGGGGGAAAGGATGGAGCAGGGGGGAGGGTTGGGGGGGGGCAGAGCACAGGGAGGGAAGAGTCCAGGTCAGGGAGGGACCAGCAGAGGGAGAGGCCAAGAGCACTGAGATGGACAAAGAAACCAGGGGAGGGAGCCAGGGGAAGAGGGGAAGCGAGGAGGCGGAGGAGGCGGAGTGAGGAAAGAAGGGGGAAGGGTGGATGAAGGAAAGGAAAGGGGGAGGGAGGGCCAGTGGACGGGAAGCCTGGGAAGGAAGAGGAGATCTAAGTGAAACCCAAAAGTAGAGTGGGGCGGAAGGCCAGGGCGGGAAGCCAGAAGCAGGTGGGGAAAGAGCTGAACACACGGGAGCGGGAGCCTCCAGGAATGGGGGCGGGTAAGCGAGCTGGCCAGGCCCAGGCCAGGACCTACCGTATCAGGGTCCTGCTGCTGTTCCAGGAAGGCAGAGAACTCCAACATCCAGAGCTTGGAGCTGGCCACACTGCGCCCCTGCCACGGGGGTGCCGGGGGCGCTGAGGGCGACGGGGTGGGTCCTGCAGGAGATTCAAACCCTGCACACAGCGGGAGAAGCACATGGGGAGCGGTCCGCACACAGCCTCCCTGCAGACAGCCTCTGCGAGGATCCCAGGCCCAGCAGTGAGACCCCGAGCTGGCTAGGAGATCTCCTGCCTCCCCGAAATAGGCCTCCCAGCAGGGGTGGAGGACGGGAGCACTTGGCCTGGTACCAGCCAGTCCCCTCAGGCCCCTGGAAAGAACTGTAATCAGGGGAAAATGGACGCTGGATGGGGGGCCAGGATGCCAATGGCACTGAGAGCTTCCTGAGCAGCACCGCTAGGTTCTTGTCGAGGAGCTTCTGGTCCAGTCAGAGAAAACCAGACACAGCGACTGCTACGGTGACTTAAGCCCCGTGAGAACAGGAAGGTTCCTGATCTGTTCACTGCGGTCTCTTCAGCCCCTACAACAGTGCCTGGCTCAGAACAGGCATTCCCTACAGGTTTGCTAATAAAGGAGGTAAGGAACGTGGTAAGAATTGCCAAGGTATGCACTTGGGGGTGGACAGGGAAGGCTTCTCCACAGAAGGCGATGCTTGAAGGAAGTAGCAAGCACAAGTAGGAGGCAGGAGGTGAAGACAGGGAAAGGACACTTGAAGCAGAGCACAGGGCAGAGGCAAAGGGAAGGGGCTGTGAGAAGCTCAGTGGGTCTGGAAGCTAGGTCTTCGGCGGAGCTGGCGAGCAGGTGGGTTTGTGCAGGAAACAGAGGTAAAGAGAGGGGTCCAGAGTGGGGCCAGGCTAAGTAAGCAGCGTGAATTTGAGCCTGAGCACTTGGGAGTGACAGAGGATTTTAAGCAGGGCATTGAAATGGTCAGACCTGCGTTTCTGAAAGGTCCTACCCAATATGAAGGAAGGACTAGGCAGGGAAGGGGCCATCAGAAGCATGGTCCTGGGGATGCTTTCCCAGGGAAAAAATGAAGGATTGATTGAAAGCAGTGTAGCAGAGGGAAGAGTAAGGGACATAGGAGGCACAAGAAGGGAGCAAAATCCCAGGCCCTGGTGCCTGACGGGATGTGAGAAAGCAGAGAGGCAGAATTCCAGAGGCCCGCCTTCCAGGCCAGGAGGAGGCTGGAGACCCCGCGTGCTAAGGCAGGTAACTCAGGAGCACTCAAGGAAGGAGACGGAGAAGAAACAGAGGGGTGGGCGGAGGGCCATGCTGGACACGTGAGCCGTGCTTAATGCCCCAGCTGAATCACTCATCTGTTCAAGCACTGCTCACCGAGGAAGGGTTAGGGTGTGCGGCCACAACTAGATACACGAAAGACGCAGACCAGTCATTCACAGACGCTGCCCCCCCCACCCCAGATAATGGCAATAAAGTGTCAAGTGCTAGATGGGGGTGCAGAGCACTCAGGACCCCTCAACTGGGCAGGGACAGGGCAGAGAAGCGTGCAGGCGGACGGGAAGCCTGAGCTGAAGCCCAGAGGCAGGGTGGGTAGGGGCACGGAGGGAAGGAGGGGAGAGAAGCTGAGTCACCGAGGAGAGCCATGCAAGTCCTACTACAGACTTCAGATCATATCCAGAAGGCACCAGTGGGCCAGGAAAAGATGTTAAGCCTAGGAACCACACGATGGGATGGATGCTTTATGAAGGTCACTGGAGTGAATCGCAGGGTGAAGAGGGGAGGCAAGGTAAAACGGGGGGCAGGTCAGGAGGCTACTGCAGTCATGCAGGCCAGAGCAGGAGGGCCTGAACCAAGACAGGGGCCAGTGAGAGGAGGGGACAGACAGGAGGGCGGGCTGCTCAGGGCTGGGAGAGAGCAGCAATCAGGACCCCAGGAGGGGAGCGCACTGCTCTCGGAGCAGGACAAGCCAGGCCAGAAGGTCAGCAGAGAATCATTCCCCGGGCCAGAAAAGGTGGTTAAGGGTGAGGATCCTCCCTGCCCTGCAGAGAGGAAGGAGGTAAGGGACCCTTATGAGAAAGAAGCAAGTGTGCCCTGAGCAGTGAGAAGGAGGGACACCCACGCTCCACGCCTCCGCCCAGGAATGCTCCCTCTGCTAACCAGCAGCTCCAGGCCAGAAAGCCGTGCTCTCCTCGGACCTCCCATTTTGAAGGAGGGGATTACAGTGTCACCAAGAGGGGGGCCATTCCAAGAGCCAAGCTGTTGGGAGCACCCGTGCAGCACACGGGGGTGGCCACCTGGAACAGGCACTCCCCTTTGAACTGCGTGCACCTGGGAAGGCCCTGAGCACAAGCTGGGAAGCAGGTCAGGCAGCCCGAGCGGCACGAGGGTCTTGGTGCAGCGCAGAGGCGTGCGTGGTAGGGGCAAGGAATGGGGTGGAGCCAGGAGACTGGGATGTCTGGTCTGAGCACAGGTCAGGGCCGCATCTAAGAGAGTCATGAGATGTCCAGTTGTCGGGGGGCCTGGGACCCCGGGGGCTGGGGGGGAAGGGGCTGCAAGCGTGCGAGTCACAAGGGAGCCGCGCACTGCCGACCCACCTGGCAGAGGCAGCGAAGGCTGGACAGCGTAGGTTTGCTGAGAGAACGGTTTCACACTGTGGGAGACAGGAGAGAGGAGGTGTAAGCCTTAGGGCAGGTGGCAGCCCAGGAGCCTCCAGCAGTGTCCAATGCTGTGTGTGTGGCTGGCCCTGGTGGTCTGGCCATCAGTGGCCTTGGGGGGCTCTGGCCACCTGCTCCCTCCCTTGCCAAGTCCGTCAGGTTTCATGGATGACCCAGAGAAGCAGCGTTGTCTATTGGGAAAATCCACTCCTCCCTCTCTTCCTTCCCTCCCCTCCTCCCTCCTGCCCTGGCCAGCCAGAGGTCAGCTTCCTAGCCTCCCTTCCCTTGGGGTCCCAAGCTCTGGCCCTGCTTCACCGTGGACAGACTGGCGTTTCAGCAAATGCCACCCCAGGGGGTCCACACTGCAGACTGAGCTGTTGCCTGTGAGCAGGAGAGCTCAACCCCAAAGCCCCAGCCCCTCCTGAAAGGCTGACCCCAGGCTGCGGCCCTGTCCCAGACTGGGAGTCAGGCTCCGCAGCACAAGTTTATGGGCTCAAGTTCAGTTTGGAGAGCAACTGGTAGCAGGCCATACTCACTCATGGGATGTTCCGGCTTGGCCCGGCAAGGCTCCTTGCCAAAACTGAGGAGGCAAAAAGTGCAGAGTCAGCCCACCCCATGCCCGGGGGCCGTGGTGTTGGGGGGCCAGGCAGGGGCCTCAGCTGGAAGGCAGGGCTGGGGGCCTGGACCCGGTGGGTGGTAAGGAGAGAGAGTTAGCGCTACTATCCAGTACTAAATGTGTTTCGAGGAGCTCTAGTCTCTGGACCTGCTCTGCCAAGAAGGTGCTCCTCAGGAGAAGCCCCAGGTTTGGAATCACAGCAGCGACAGTCCTCCCTCAGAAGCCCACGGTGCGTAGCAGCACTGAAGGCCTAACAGTCCCAGATTTAAGAAACCTATTTAGTTCTAGGTGTCCCAAACTTCCTTACACAGATTCACTTTGTGTCATTATCTAGGTAATACCCTGAGGGACTAGCGGTCTCTGGAACACACTTTGAAAACTGCTGGAGAGGCTCACTGAGCGTGGGGCCAGTCACTGTCCCTCCCCCACGCGCCTAGGGCAGTGCTGTGGGTGCTTCGTGAAGACCCATTTAGTCCCTACAGCCAAGACAACCCTGTGAGGACACAGCCAAGACAACCCTGTGAGGACACAGCCTTTCTAGACCATTGTGAAAGCGTCACCAAGCTGGCCACGGTCAGGAAATTTAAAATCCGAACACGAGTCTGTTCCTGAACACCAGCTCTCTGACTGGAAGGCAAGCAGTGCTGAGTGCCTGGGGGAGCGGGGACAGGGCCGAGCGGTGGAGGGCTGCTCCCGGGTGCGCCGGCGCTGCCCCGAAGCCTCAGGCTTCAGCCCCCATCCCGGGACGTCAATCGGACCAGGTGCAGAGCTGCTCGGTCAGTCAGCTAGTGGGGGTGGCTCTGCCCCCTGTGGAAGGTCTGCTGTGTCACTAGCAAGGCCCCCGAGGAGGCAGGGCCAGTGCCGGCGAGCTGTGCCTCAGCATGGCCCCTCGGCCCTTAGTCCCTCCTTCCCCCTGGCTCTCCAGGCCTGGGAGGACTCGAGAGAGAAATGGGGCCTGGCCAGTGCCCCCAGCTCCTTAGGAGGGGGAGGAGAGAGAAGGAGGGGCTGACGTGGCCTCTGGCTCCAAGCAGCCCCACTTACCCCTGAGACTGCTGGGTGGCCTGGGCCCCGGGCGAGGGCCATTTTACTGTGGAAGGCTGTGGCGGAGATGGCCTGGGCGGGCGACATGGGAGCCATGCTCTGCAGGGCCTTGTCCTTAGCTGCCTGGTCCTGGGGAGACATTGGAAGGGAGGGCCTCAGCAGTGGTCACTATGGCAGGTGTGGGTGAGGCGGGGTCCAGGCTTGTGCTCAGGGAAGCTGTCCCACCGCCAGCGGCCAGAGCCGTGGACAAGGCCCTGGGGGACCAGGCTCGTGCCCATGCAGTGCTGAGAACTTGGCTTGTGACTGAGCACAGGTCACTTGGTTCAAGTGGTTCCTCTGATCAGTTTCCTCCTCTGTCAAAGGGGTAAAGTGCTTGTCCAGGCTATCTTATTAGAGCGTAAAGGGCCTTGGGAAACCATCTGCCAGACCGTGTCTCGATGAAGGCCTCTTAGTCCTTGCTCGCCTCCACGCCACTGGCGGCTGGCCCGGCATCTGGCTCACGGTAGATGGTACATAAACATGTCAGAGCCCTCCTCGAATGGCCAGGAGGGGTCCTCCGCGGTCACATGGACTGTCTGGAGGCCTGGGACGGTCTCCCGCGGCCCCACCTGTCTCAGTTCTGCCTCATGGGTCTCCCCTCGCACTGCGGACACCCGAGGCACCCCTGCCTTTTACATGGCAGGTGTCAACACCCGCTACTTGCCCTCCGTGGGCCCAAAGACACCAAAGAATGGATTCGCCCTGCACGGCTCTGAACTAACAAGTACTCAGGAAAGCACCTGTAAGCACTTACAACACTGGCGAGAACACTAATAATAATCTGTATACGTGTGTAAGCCAGCGGTCCCCATCCTGAGGGCCCCACTCCCACAGGTCTTCAAAATGATGACACCTATTTCAGTACTTCTGTATTTCAAAAAGCCTAATCGGAACTGTGTTTTGGTCCAAAGTAAGACCACATTTATAGACTGGAATGGCAAGCTTTATTCAGTATGTGTAACTTAATTGAGGCCAAAAGATTGGATTATTTCAGCTCAGGAACTCAGATTAGGAATTCTGTCTTTATGATGAGTATTTTTAAATGGGAACAATAAATTGGTCATCATCTGGTAATTAAGTTGTCAGCCCCAGAGAAGTGTGAGACCTGACGGAGGCCCTTGCAGTTCACAGGCGCTTCTCCACGACAGTTTCTCCCGGCCCTCACAACAGCCCCATGAAGTGGCACCACCGTGGGGGCATGAGGCTCTGGGGACCCAGGTGGTCTCCCAGCGTCCGGCACCTCACAACTGTGGAGCCAGAACTCCAGAGGCCCTGCCACTCAGCCTCTCCAGGACCATGTGCACTCACGTGGCACAAGATGGCCCACAGAAGGTCAAGAACAAGGCCTCACTTTGACCCTGAACATCACAGCACTCCCGTGAGGCTGGCGAGACTGGTAGAATCCCCATTGTAAGAAACAGAGGCTCAGAGAATTCAGGGCGCTGACAGTAGCGACGGCTGGCCCGAGAGCTTGGTCCAGGTTGGCATGTCACCTCAGCACTGGGCCTCTGGGCCTCCGCGGCCTGGAGGGGGGGAGGGCAGGGGGAGGGAAGGGTGCACACAGCACAGAAGGCACAGACCATCCTGAGAGAAGGGCTCATCCTCAAACCACCGTCCTTTTGGGTCCAACCTGGGCTTTGCTCTTAGAGGTTCTCTGATAACCAAAGAGGGAGCGCTCAGCATAAGGTGGCCTCTTGCCGAGAACATGTGCACTGTTCAGGAGGGAAAAGCCAAATGTGCCCAGGCCAGCCGGCCCCAGCCTCTCCCTCCAGGAGGACATGTGTGATGCAGCAGGCCGTACCCTCAGAAAGCCCGCGGACCTCTGTGGTTGACAGCTGCACCGTGAGGCCAGAGAGCTCCATCCGCTCAATGTCCGCAACTTACGGCCCTTCCGGGAGAGCTGATCTCAATAAATGACTGGGGCTCAGGAAACCACGTCCTCACCCAGGGTGGGACAGGAATCAGGGGGAAGTGGGAAGGACCTTACGGGGAGTGACATCAGTGACCAGGTTACAAGGCCAGGGAGTCACTGAATTTGGGGCTGGAGAGGACCTCAGATACCACCTTGCTTCACCCTGTCATTTCACATTTTAAACCGAATAGAGCTTGAGGAGAGCCAGTGACTCCCCACGCTCACATTGCCCAAGGGCAGAGCCAGCTAGACCAAATCCCGAGTCCTGGAGGATTTCTACCTAGGAGAAGTCTGTCCACCAGGGAGACAAATTACGTTGGGTCCCAGACCCCTCTGAGAATACGACAATATCCTCAGACCACTCTCCCCGAGAAAATGCACACAAAGATCTACATATTATTTAAGGGGCTCATGGCTCCCCTCAATGTCTGTCTAGTGGTCTATGAGAGCTCTCCCCAGTCTCTAAGTTAGAGCCTATGGACAAAGGTAGCAATTCCTTGAAGTAAATGTGGGTCATCTGGTCTGCAAGGGAATTAAAAGTTTCCCTCGATGGCTGTAAACAGAACACTGGAAAGTGTCTTCTCCATTCTGGCTCCCTGCCAGGGTCCCAGTGAGTCAGAGGCAGACCAGAGAGGGGAAGTAGGGAGCAAACTGGACTCCAGGCCCCAGGGGCCTCCAGGAGTACGTGTGCCCAGCCTGAGAGGGAGGGAGTGATGACAGCTGACGCCCAGCCACCTGTCCAGGGGACAAAGGAGCGAGGTGCTGGGCTGCAGCTGTGAGGGCGGGGGACAGCTGGGCTGAGTGGGCAGTGGGACGCGGCTTCCTGGGAGATCCCCCCACTCATTCGGAGCCTCCAGTGTCAGGATCATGGACAACCAGAGCCACATAGGACCTTCAAGCTCATCTAGTGCAGAGGTTTTTAATTGGGCTCTAAGCTACTCTGGGGTTCAAGAGTCATGGAGCATGAGAGGTAAATAGGAGCAGGGGGTCTCTGGTCTATTCTGCACCAACCTAGCTTTGACCAAGGTAGCTCCTTTGTTAACATATGGGTGTGGTATTTTGTTTGGGGAAAAAACAAAAGGGACCTCCACTGCTTAAAAAAAGTGTGTTAACTGCTGGCCTCAGCCTGAGACCCCAAATGTCAGCTCTTCCTGCCAAGTAGCTGGGCAAGCTCTGCGATGAACACCTCTATGGGGAGCTCATTCCCACCTGGTATTCACCAAAAGGGTCCCCTGGCTCTAGTGTCCAGGAGGCCTGAGTCCTGTGGGAAACAGACTGCCCCCTATTGGGGGGTGGCCCTGTGAGGTGGGACCGATCTGGGAAGGGGAGAGAACTGCCCATCTCAGAGAGCAGAGCATAGGAAGGAATTCCACCAGCTCCCACAGTACCATCCACCCCACCCCCACAGCAGTGCCTCCTAAGCCTGACCACCCCGCAGGCTCAGGGGATGGCACGGAGGGGCCAGGGCCTCCAGGAGGTCCTCAAGGAATGGGGTGTGGAGGGCAATCCCGCTGTGACCTGGGGATGCTGTAGAGCCTGGTGGTCATAAACACACATACACACACACACACACACACACAGCTCTGACATCAACTGTCATTCCCTGTGCAGACAAGGAGTAGTTACAGGCTGAATCCCAGGAAGCATGCTGGCTCTGCACATGAACAGCCAGCCCCTGAACCCAAAGGGAATACTTTTCCTGCTGGAAAAAGAGCCCTAACTTCTAGGAAGCTGGCCCCACCTGTGCCCTAGGTCCTCCCTCCCACTGCTGCTGGTTTACCTTACCTTTAGCTTGGCCTGGATCTCGCGGGCTTTTCGACGAGCCAGCACCTGGATGTGGCTGGAGACCTGTAGCAGGAAGAGAAGGCTCCTGTCCCTACCTCCCAGGAGCCCTGTGCTCCCCGTGCTGGCTCCTCGACCCTCAGCCCTCCACCATCCTCAAACCACATCTGAGTGAATGAGTGAATGAAAGGGGCAGTCAATGATGGGCCTTCAGTCCTGCCACATCCAGCTAATCCAGAGTCTGGCAATAAATCAAAGTACAACGCCAGTCCTGCACTCTCTGTTCTTCTGGTGTCCTGGACATGGGAGGGGAAGGATTTCCTCCCAGCTGATGGCAGCAGGGACTGCAGGGAAACTGAACGGTCTGTGGCACACCAAAAAGAGATAACCCCTCTGAACCAGCCCCACCGAGAACCCACCCTCAGTCCTGCAGAGGGCCTGGCCCACCACGGGAGCAGACTGGGACTGGGGTACCTGCCCCTAGGACCCACGCTCATCTCCCAGGGCCCACCTGCTTCCTGGTGCGGGTCTTCCCTGTCCGGAGCTTGATGTAGCGGGCAATCAGCTCATTCCGACCTACAGAGACACCAACATGCTCTCAGCAGGAGAAGGACAAAGGCAGAAACACAGGAGGATCTGGGGATCCCTTCCCTCATCCTCTGCCCACCTTGAGTGGGGACTTGGGGTGAGGATTCTGCAGGTGCCCTCCTTGGATCCCAGGAATCTCCCAGCAGCAAGAGGAAGCTGAGGACTTGCTGGGGGAGTGGTAACCTGAGAGCAAGGAGGGGGCAGGGCTGCAGGCCCCATACAAACTCGGGGAGCTCCCTTCTCCCACACTGGCCACCTCCTCCCCCTACTCCACAGCAGCCTGACAGCTGCCAATCTGTCCTGCCTCCTCCTGGGGCCTTCTGCACACTTGGGAGGCTGCAGGGCAGTGCCTGGGCCTTGACACTCCCCCATGCAGCACCCCCCGCCACTGCCCACAGCTTCTACCACCTCCATAAATGAGCAGGACCTTACAAGATGTCTTGCCTTGTCTCCTGACGGGAGACCAAAGCGCTGAGACACTGAGCGTCCCCAGGGAGGAGGCCCGAGGCCCTGAACTCAGATAAAGAAAACCTGGGCAGACCACACCTCCAGCTGCATGGCTCTGACCAGACCAGTCAATAGGTAACACCGCGTGTGCGCCATGGGCCCAGTCCCCTAGAGGCTGAGGCTGTGTCTGAGGGATCCTGGAAAACTGTAAGGAGCCACCCACGACCTCTACCATTGTAAATGCAATTATGAAAGGAGGTTCTGTTTTCAAAGAAACCACCACCTAGCTGAGGAGAGACGTGTGTCCATGCCGTAACCCCAATGCGGGCCATGGACAGGGAGCACAGTGTGCTCAGAGCACAGGGGTCAGCTCAGGCTGGGTGGTCAGGTGAGCCTTCCGCGGGACCTTGACCACTGGGTAGGATTAGACTATAAAGAAGGGCATTGGGCTGGGGAGAGGGAGAGCAAGGGGGCTTGAGGGGGAGCTGTCACCCCCCTGGGCCAGCTCTGAGGCCAGCGGGCTCAGACGCCAGCCCCGCCCGATCCTGCCAGCCTTGCTGAGCCTGGAGGGCTGTGGCTGAGTAAGGAGGCTGCTGGTGCAGGGGGGTGGGGCCGAGACGAGGGGGCTGTCCGCCACCCCGCTGTAACCGGAGAGCACAGCCAAGTCCAAGCTGGCCCCCCAGATGACCTTTCCCCACTGCCAAAGCTGAATTAAGAGGCCACCCTCGGGAGGTCTCGTCTGCCAGAAAGACTAGCTGGCCTGGGAGCGCTGGATGGTCTGTGTCAGGGGAAGGAGGGAGGGCGGGAGGATCAGACCCTGAGGCTATCACCTGTGGGCTGGTCTGCACCTAAAACAGGAATCCAGTGACATGTCTCTTCTCAAAGCTCTCCACGGAGAGGTATTCCACAGGCTCCTCTAAACGAACGTCTAAAGATGGTTCAACAGTCCCGTGCATGTCTAACCAGAGACACTCACGCTGCAGCTAGGAAACGCTATGATCGCTGGCCGGAGTCTAAGTCATCACCAGTGGTGACCGTAAGCGGGTCCCAGAACTGGGAGTTGGGGAGCCAGGTGTAGCCCAGCACCTCCACAAACAAGGTATGGGATCTTGGCAAGTCCCATTCCTCTATGGACCTTCACCCAGACTGCACTTCTTAAACCAGGCCCTTTTAAGGTTCTTCCTCCAAATTACTCCAATCAAATGTTTAGAGACTTAGGAAACAGACCTCAGTGAGAGCTCTCGGTGGCTCAGTTTCCTTTGCTGTAAAAAGAACAGGCCCGTGTGAGTTGTCTAGTTCAGGGCCCAGCCTGGGAGCGAGAAGAGCAAGGGAGGAGAGAGGGTTCCTGAGACCAGGAGGTTGATCACAGAGCTGGATGGCACGCTCACCCAAAGAAGGGTGAGCGGCCAAGTACTGGGGCTGCTGCTGGGAAAGGCAGGGGAATCGACGGTTTATCTTATTGGCAAGGCTCTGATCAGCAGTAGGCTATTAGTAGTTAATTTTTTTTTTAAGATTTTATTTATTTATTTGACATAGCGAGAGAGAGCACAAACAGGAAGAGCAGCAGAGGGAGAAGCAGGCTCCCTGCCGAGCAAGGAGCCCGATGCGGGACTATATATCCCAGGACCCTGGGATCGTGACCTGAGCCGAAGGCAGATGCTTAACCGACTGAGCCACTCAGGCATCCCAGTAAAGTTTTAGGGGAGTCAAGTTATATGTGGACTGTCCACTGTGTCTGTGGCGGGGTGGGGGGGTAGAGGTTGGCACCTCTAACACCCACATTATTCAAAGGTCAAATGTATATGCAGAATCTAGCCACTTCTCACCACCTCACCCTCCATGGTCCAAGCTCCCATCCTCTCTGGCCTCAACTATGACAATAACCTTCGACCTGGATCCCCTGCTCTCAGCCTATTCTTAACACAGCAACCACAGCAATCACAGCAATCCTGTGGCTCAAACAGCCTCCCATGGCTTCCCATCTCACTCAGACTGCAAGTGTTCAAGCCCCTACAATGGCCTGGAAGCCCCCACAGGGCCTGTTCACTCCATCCCCAGCCCAGCCCCTCTCTGACCTTACAGCATCTCCCACTGGGTCTCCTGGCTGTTCCTGAGACGTGTCTGGCCCACTCCCACCTGAGGGCCTTTGTGTGCCGTGTTCTCAGCCCAGCCACGCATGGCCCACTCCCTCACCTTCCCACCTTCTTTGCTCAGGTGCCACTGTCTAAGAGACAGCTTCCCCACCTCCACCCACCCACCTTAAACAGCCTACTGTCCTTGCTGTTCTCCCCAGCATCTTCGGACACACCATGTGACCTGCTTACTCACTCAGAGCACTGTCTCCCCCCACCCCCACTCCCAGCAGAAGGAAAGCTCCTGAGAACAGGGATGTCTGTCTGTCTATTCACTTGTTCACACCCAACACCTAGAACACTGCTTACTGTTTTCTGTAGTAGGCTCCCAATAAATACTTGTTAAATGATAAGGCAATGGTGAGAAAACGCTGACCACATGTCCCACAAGGCGTTTTAGCCTACTACAGGTAAGGTACACATTAAATAAAAGCAAATCACCTTTTACTTCTGATTAGTCCAACACAGCAGTTTAAGTGCTTTCTTATCCTGGCCTCATTTAAGCCTCCATATGCAGGAGCAAATCCAGATTTTTGTGGAGCCTAAAGCATCTAAAACTTGGGAGGCTCTCTTTGAGAAAAAGAATTTAAAATATAAATACAAAATTAGGTAAAGATCATTTTGGGTTAAGATGGACATGTTCACTCTCTTGATGTGTAGTAACTGGCTTCATAGGTATGCTTACATCCCGTCAAAACTTAACCAAATTGTCTACTTCAAATATGTATAGTTCACTGTATGGCTATTATACTCCCATAAAATTGCTTTACAAATTTAAATTACAAATAAAAGGATTAGGGACTTGAAGGGGGACACGCAAGTGATGGTCCTGAAGCGTGACCCTCACTAACTCCCCAGCAAACCTCCCTCCCACCTATAGAAAGGTGGGCAATCGCACGTAGTACCAGATGGGGACACTGAAGGCAGAAAACCTCACCCGGATCACCCACCCGCAGATCTAACAGTGACTGCCTGGACCTGAACACTGGCTCAGCCACCGCCAGCAGCGCAGGGAGTGCCCGGCACCCCGAAGATGCTCTCTATCCCTGGGCAGGCCTCCCGGCCCCGTGCACAGTGGCCCCTCCTCCGCGTTACAGGACGAGCAGCAGCTAGTGGGCCCCATGCCCGCCAGGGGCTGAGACCCTTACTCCAGACATCAGGACAGAACAGGGGAATCGACGGTTTATCTTATTGGCAAGGCTCTGATCAGCAGTAGGCTATTAGTAGTTAATTTTTTTTTTAAGATTTTATTTATTTATTTGACATAGCGAGAGAGAGCACAAAGAGAGAGAGCCAGGAGCCCTGGGTCTTGAAGACAGAGCCCCCTCCTGGTCCCACAACGACCTCTGCCCTCTACTACAGGGTTCGGGAGCTCTGCCACCACACAGGCCATGCTGGGGGCCGCAGGAGCCAAATCCAAAGGGTCTAGGCTGGCGAGGCTGTCCGTATTTTTCCAAGTTATGCATCTTGCCCTCCCTTTGTCTGGAGCAGCATTCCCCTTCCCCTTACCAGCTCATCTCAGGCCATTATTCCACCCAGCCTTGTTCTGCTCATCAGAGGTGATGCCAGGAGCTGAGAACTCCCCCTGGGCAGGAGTAAAGTGCTGGGTCTCTGGGGGTGTGCGGAGCCAAGAGGGGCCGACCAGCTTCCTTCCTGCCACCGGGGTGCTTCAGAGGTCACCCCGGCCAGCGGGCATCGAGTCCCGGCTTCACACTTACGTGGGGGGCCGCGACAGTGTCTCTCGCTCTCGTAGCCAGACCGGCAGTCGTGAACATGTACTGTGCAAATACAGACTGTGCGCTGGGGAAGCCGGATCTGTGCTCTCCTTTTCAATCCTCACGGCCGCTCTTCGCAGCTGCTACTATCGTCACGTTCTACACACAGGGAAATCGAGGCCCACAGAGGTTTGGAAAGCAGTTCAGGGTCACAGACCAGCAAGTGGTCGAGACCGAAACCCATCCAATCTGGTTCCAGAGCCTGTCTCTTCAGAATCACACAGTATGACTTCTATTTAACGTGGGAGTGAGGGCCATCTCCAGAAGCAAGGGCCGGACCGGGTCGCCCCCAAGGTCTTATGTAGCCCAGGGAAGAAGTAACTGTGGCCCAGAGAGGGGAAATGATTTATTCAAAGTCACACGGTTTCTTAGTGTCCCAGGTGCCATGAGAACATACGCTTCTAAGGCTTCACGACTATCCCACAACGGCTGCCCTCCCTCGGCTGGGCTGGGAGCTGCCTCTGCAAGACAGCACGGGGCTCCTCCCTCTGGCTCGATCCCCCCATTCTCCGGGTCTCTGCATGAAGCAAAGCCCTTGGCTATGTCTGACTGCCCCTCGCCCTGACCCAGGTCCTGGAGGAAAAGCCAACTATTTGGACCCAAGAGCCTGCCCACTGTTTTCACTCTCTCATGG